TTTTCACTCACCGATCTTATTTTTTCACTCATCTTATTTTCTCACCCATCATATAGATTTGAAAAATCATAATCCTATCTTTTCACCCACTATTATTCCTAAAATGCCATTCAATTATTAATTTTTTTTTAAAAAAAAAAACTTGAAACTGAAATTTAAAGAAAAAAAAAAAAAAAACTAAACCAAACCAAACTTCAACCCAGCACAAACTTCCCCATCGATGATCCAGGAGAATCTTATAAATAAATGTAGTATAATATAATTGATATAAATCAATTATATTATTCAATAAAATAATATAAAATAATAATATTATTTAATTATTTAAAATACACGAATAAGTGGTGGTTGAAAAGAGAATTATTCTTAAGTCACCAACTTTGCATGGCTTAAGTATGCAAGAACTTTAAGCCACATAGCTTTTATGGTTGAATTTCATTTGCTATTTTAGTTCAATTATTTTTAGAAAGCGAAACTCGTATATAGACAAGCAATTTTGGTAAGCAATTCAATAGCTTCTACTGTTTCTTCCAAAGAGAAGTAGCGAGTCCTCAATCCTAAACTATTAGGAATTCAGAGTTCTAGCATCTAGAATTTTTGGATCAAGTGGTATCAAAGCACCAAATCCGAGAGGGTGACAGTGGTTTATGGTCTCAACTCACAACCAACGCAAAGTTTTTGGAGAAGAACTTTTAGGTCCTTTGCTCATACACCGAAAACCAAGGTCCAAGAGAGACATTATGACTGGAGAAACAAACAGGATACATCTGGTGATGGCGATTGCATCGCTAAGCTTGAGCAACAAGTTGAAAACTTATCTGCATCAATTCTTAGACTCGTGGAGAGTTTGAAGACTGGAAAACCTTCGCGTCCATCAACTTCATATGAGCTTGATCAAAAGCTCAAGAAAAAGGTTGTTGAGGATATCGAAGATGAAGACGACACACAAGCTGATCCAACGAAAAAGGAAGTTGAATCAGGTTGATATCCTTATATATAAAGAAGATGTTGATCCTAAAAAGCTAGATAACTAGATAGACACATTAGAAACTTATTTCACAGTTCATAAGTATTCTAATGGGCAAAAGATAAAATTTCCGAGTTTGAAACTTTCGAGCCATGCCCTTACATGGTGAAAGTCCTATCAAAGAAGGTATGATGTCTCAGAATTGACTTGGAAGAACTTCAAGATGCTTTTGAGAAAACAATTCTATCCAGTTGGCTATGAAGATGAAAGATGGTATAATTGGCAACATTGCAGACAAAGATTTGGGCGACTTGTACAAGAGTATACAACAGAGTTCCACAACCAAGCTATGGTTCTGGACATCGACGTCAATGACTACGATGTTTTCATGAAGTATACCGGAGGTCTTGCCAACTACATACAGAAAGAACTAAAATTGTTCAACGTAGATACTATTGAAGAAGCTACTGTGAAGGCCATCACCATTGAGGCAAAAAATAAAAGATAGGTTAATACAACATTAAGGAAATCTATTTTACGACGTTATGGTACCCTCGATCCTTAAACTTTTAACAAAATTGTTTATTAAAATAATGACCCATTTTATATGACTAAGGTCCACCATTATCAACTCCTTGTAATGTGGATCCATGTCCTTGTAAAATGGTGATTTACAACATTATGGATTGAGTGAACCCTAATATTATAATCCAAGTGCAAAACCTTCTAAACTGCTACCCCAAACTTGTAAGTTACAAGTTTAATAATTCTCTTTACGATGGTAAGGAACCCTCAGTCCATACTCTTGTATACTATTGTTTACTAGAATAAAGACCCATTTTACATCCCAAAGGTCCACCATTACAAATTCATTGTAATGTGGATCTATATCCTTGTAAAAGGTTAATTACAACAGTATGAATTGAGTGAACCCTAATGTTGTAATCGAGGTGCAAAACCCTGTAAATTGTTACCAAAAACTTGTAAGTTACGAATTTAGTGATTCTCTTTATGACGTTATGGTACCCTCAGTCCATAATCTTGTAAACCATAGTTTACTAGAATAGGACCCATTTTACATCCCAAAGATCCACCATTACAAATTCCTTGTAATGTGGATCCATATCCTTGTAAAAGGCTAATTTACAACATTATGAATTGGGTGAACCCTAATGTTGTAATTGAGGTGCAACACCCTGTAAATCGTTACCAAAAACTTGTAAGTTACGAGTTTAGGGATTCTTTTTACGATGTTATGGTACCCTCGGTCCTTAATTTTATAAACTATAGTTTACTAATAAGGACCAAATTTACATCCTTAAGGTCCACCATTACCAATTCCTTTTAATATGAATCCATATCCTTGTAAACATATGATTTACAATATTATGGATTAGGTGAATCTTAATGTTGTAATCCAGAAGCAAAACCTTGTAAATTGTTACCAAAAACTTGTGAGTTACAAGTTTAGGGATTCGCTTTACGATGCTATGGTACCCTCAATCCTTAATCTTGTAAAGCATTGTTTACTAGAATAATGACCCATTTTACATCACTAATATCCACCATTACCAATTTCTTGTAATATGGATCCATATCCTTCTAAAAGGGTGATTTACAACATTATGGATTTGGTGAACCCCAATGTTATAACCAAGATGCAAAACCTTCTAAACTGCTACCCTAAACGTGTAAGTTTCAAGTTTAGTGGTTTGCTTTACGACGTTAAGGTACCCTCGGTCCTTAATCTTGTAAACTATTGTTTACTAGAATAAGGACCCATTTTACATCCCAAAGGTCCACCATTACCAATTCCTTGTAATATGGATCCATATCCTTGTAAAAGGGTGATTTACAATATTATGGATTGGGTGAACTTTAACGTTATAATCCAAGTGCAAATTCTTCTAAACTGCTACTCCAAACTTGTAAGTTACAAGTTTAGTGATTCGCTTTATGACGTTAAGGTACCCTCGGTCCTTAATTTTGTAAACCATTGTTTACTAGAGTAAGGACTCATTTTATATCCCAAAGGTGTCCAATTCTTTGTAATGTAGATCCATATCCTTGTAAAAGGCTTATTTACAACATTATGAATTTGGTGAACCCTAATGTTGTAATCGATGTGCAAAACCCTGTAAATTGTTACCAAAAACTTGTAAGTTACGACGTTAGGGATTCTCTTTACGACGTTATGTTATCCTCGGTTCTTAGGGCCAGTTTGGCATTGCTATGCTGTAAAAATAGTCACTGTCAAATTTGCTGTGAGAGAAATCAGCTATGAAAGAAAGCAGTTTGGTGTTTGATAAACTTTTTGTTAGAAGTGTGGTTGGTAAAAAAAAAACACAGGGCTATTTTTGGAATTTTGAAAGTTTCATTAAACTCAGTGCCTCTTCAAAACTGATTTCTGCATAATCAAAAAAATGAAAGCAGCTCATCACTTGCTTTGCCAAATTGCTTTCTCTCACAACAATTATTCAAAATAAGTGATTTTATTATCTTTTACCAAACAGGTTGGGCTTTCAAAAATTTCAAAATAATCACTTATAGCCCCAAATAAGCAATGCCAAACTGGCACTAATCTTGTAACCATTACCAATTTCCTTATAATATGGATTCATATCCTTGTAAACATATGATTTACAATATTATGGATTGCATAAACTCTAACGTTGTAATCCAGGTGCAAAACCTTGTGAACTTCTACCCAAAACTTATAAGTTATGAGTTTAGTGATTCTCTTTATGATGGTATGGTACCCTCTAGTCTTAATCTTGTAAATCCTTGTTTTTACAAGAATAAGGAATAATTTTACTTGTTCAAGGTCCAACTACCTTAATATTACACACTTTTACATTTTTAAGATTCAATTAACGAACGAGAACACTTATAAAGAGAACCCTTATAGATAAGGAATATAAAATTGACATCGTATTAAATTTTAAAATAAAAATAAAAATTATCTTCAACAAAAAAAACCCTTTTGTAAAAGAAATAATAATAATAATAAAGGTTTCCTCTAGGGCTATGTTATGATGCTAATTTGCAAAACTACTCTCATGTGTATTAACAATAGATTAATTTTCTTTCTTGCCTAGTCTATCATTGGGGTACCATGGATTATTCTAGTTAAGAAAACATATTTACTTATAACATTAAAAAAAATATTTCTTCAAAACAATACAGCTTCCCTCAAAGGATTCATGCTTTTGATGTCATATTGGAGTATTTGGTTGTATTGTTGAATTTTATAATGAAGTTTCTCTTTGATTAAAAATAAAAATAAAACCAGAATCCTACAAAGATAAGAAATTGATTTTCTTTACTTTTATTTTTAAGAAAGGTACTTAAGTTTTTCGTAAAGCCACATAAATCTTAATTTGTCATATTCTGTTCTTCCCAAAGTGAAAGCTACATAAATTCTTTGGGAAATCAAAAGGCATAAAGAGAATTCTACATTACCATGAAACGAAACTTAATTATTCTTTTAGTTATTTATTTATTTATTGAGGGACAAACAAAACAATTATTTATACACACAAAATTTGTAGTTTAAAGTTCTATTATTTTTTGTTACAAGTTAACAAAAAGAAATTCAGTTTGGCTAATTGGAAAAAAGCTGCCTACAAATGTCGTGAAATAATTGAATGAATCACGAACCCTAGCCTCAGCCCCATACTTGCAAATTTTGTGAAATAAATGGATTAATTGAAATTATTGACAAAATTGAATGAATTGTAACGAATTGCATTATACCCTGGAACCAATTGCATTGCAAAATGCAATTGCATTAAACCCATACTACCATATTGCCAAAACCCGAAAATTAGATTCTCGTGGATTTCAAAATCTGGGGCAGTTGCAGTCGAATTATTGAAGCAGCCTTCTCTGTTTATGAAAACAACACCCTTTCTCTATTTCTCAGTCTCTCTCTCACTTTTTCTCTATTTCTCAGTCTAGGGTTTGTTAGAGGGAGAAGAAGAGGGAAGTGACGATTTCAGAATGACAAAAAAAGAGTGAGTGATGCGTGGGCAATAAGAATATTTATCGAGCTCATTTAACCAAGCTTTTCAAAAACAGGCTGTTTTACCCATATGCATGGGCGCCGAGGTTAAAGCCACCAAATTCCTGTCAAATTATCACAAGCTATCAAATTCAAATTTAATATTTTGCATCTCCCTTGTAAAGGAATAAATGATTCGTATATGCATTCATAATTTCATATCTGATGGCACTTCTCTGGAGAGAAATTGGTTGACAACTGCTCCTTGTACAGGTAATCATGGTAGGAGGGGAGGATGCCTATAGGATAATACAGGGGTTCAGGGTTTAGAGGATAAACCCATTTCTTGCTCATATATCAAACGGACTCCACATTTCTTCACCTCCAAGCTAGGGCCTAAGGTTTTAAACAAAAACTCAAGCCGACGACAGCTGTCTTGCCATGCAGTTCCGAAATGTTCGCAGCCTACAAAGGATAGCCAAATGTGATCCGACTCAATTCGGCCTAATTCCTGGCTGCAGCCAAAGAAAGGACACCATCCACTTAAACCCAAATTGTTGGGGTTCACTTCACAACGAAGGCCATGTGCAGTGCTACAGGTTTCTTGCTCGTACTTCCATTTACCAAGCAAGTTACCCGCAGGTAGACGTCGACCAAGACCAAAAACAGCACACAAAACATATCCTTGCCAGTTTTTCTTACACCAATCCTCACGTAGGTCCATGCTTACTACAGACCTCGCACTTCGATCAATGAACCACTCAGAAATTTCACTGCCAGGAATTATAGTTTCAAATCTGTTTACTGGATAAGGGGTTCCCTGCAGCAAAGAAAACTGTGAAGTAAACAATTGCTCATTTGTGTGTCTGAGAAAGAGATCTAGAGAGAGAGAGAGAGAGAGCACCTGAATGAATCTCCTTAACAGTGCAATTGCTATATTGTTGCAGCCTTGATTTTTAACCAATTCGAAGCAATTAATATAATTGAAACATGATGACAGCCTTTCTAGTGAATTACTCCCTTCTGAGCCAACACCCAAGTCCACTTTTGGTGAAAGGTCCGGCATTTGCTGAAGAAGCTTACAACTTTCCAAATTCAAGTTGTGAAGCTTAGAAAGATGGCTAATGCTTTTGGGAAGACTAAGAAAATTGTTTTTACTTAGATTTAGAGATACCAACGAGAATAAGCAGCCAAGATTTTCCGTTATGGTTCCCTCCTGAAGATTACAGTCACTGAGGTTCAGTTCTGTTAAAGAAGACAAACCAGAAGTAGAAATTGGAAACTGCAAACCCACTAAACATGTCCGGTTTCTGGACATCGATAGATCGTTAAGGGGAATATTTTCTGACTCAAGTGGCAGCCCTTTACATCCATGCAGAGATAACATTTTAAGATTTTCCATAAGAAAAGTGGAGGATGGTAGTGTGCTTATGGAGGTACCGCTCACATCAAGTTCCTCCAAACAATCAAGCTGTCCCAAGCTTTCTGGCAGTTCTTTAAGTTTTAAGCAGCCACAAATGTTGAGACTTTTGAGGGACTTCAAATTGCAAATGTTGCGTGGGAGACGCTCAAGATATTTGCAATTTCTTAGATTTAATAAAGTAAGGCCAATGAGATGTTCAATTGATGAAGGTAATTTTTCTATAGCAGTCTCCTCTAAAGAAAGTTCCAACAAGTGTTCCATAGGCTCCACAAATTCTGGAATTTTCTTAATGCTTAAGCAGCTAGAAAGAATAAGAATTTCAAGGCATTCCATTTCAATCTTATTTGGAAGACTTTTAAGACTTCTGCAACCTTTAAGGTTCAAGACTTTAAGCCTTTTCAGCCCAGCAATAGAGGGATGGATCACCACTAAATTTGTACAACCTTCAAGAATTATACTCTGAAGATTTGGAGTACCTGTAAAATCTGGGGTCCTGGTCAGGTTCTGGGACCAGCTAACATTGATAAATCTCAGCTTCTCCAAGCACTGTTCAAAACAGAAAAAAATAATTAAATTAAATAAAAATAGAGTGTTTGGATGTTTTGTCATATTTATCCACTCACGAAAAAAGAACTACAATTAAATAAATAAATAAAAATCTAACCGTTTCTCCGTTCCAAAGTTGTTCAATGCTGCTATAGCACAAGTTAAGTTCACAAAGCTTCATAGGTTGAAAACTTTGAGGGAGAAACTTTGTAGGGTACTCACTCCATTCGAGAAATACCAAGGCATTAGAAAGAAATTTGGGGCCTTCAGTCATACGCACATTACGAATTTGCAGAAACCGAAGATTATGCATTTTCGAGAAGGCCTCTGAGTCGCACCATGCCTCTTCTAATTTAGGCGAGTCTAAGGCTATGCCTTCAACTGCATCTGTTACCTAATAACCAAGAATAACAGGACAAGTTAATGAGAGAATATCATTAAGTTTTGTAGCATGTCAAATGAAATAATTCCTGCACTCACAAATAATAACTAGATACAGTAAAATTGAGAGATGATAAATTAGTTTAACTGACTTTCCAATCCATAGTTGTACCAATTTCTTACCTCATTATTTACAAGTACAGGAATGATATCCTCTGAAAGCCACAACCGGCTACGTCTGCCAGGCTCCTCACGGCATTCTCGACGAACAATATCCCAACCCAATTCTTGTACCAAATCATGCATCCACAATTTTCCTTTCGAGACAGTTACTAGAGCTTTTTCAATCAGAACTTGTATACCAATGTCTGGATAGTAACCACAACTTTCCAGTATTCTTGTCACACGATCTATGTCTTCTCCTTTAAAGAAGCATGCAATGTCCAAAAATATTTTCTTTTCTGATTCTATTAACCCATCAAAACTGATTTTAATCACAGCAACAATTCTTCTGTCAGGATCTCCTTCTTTAATCAGCTTATCCAATACAGTTGTCCATTCATGTACACTTTTCATACAAAGGAACGAACCCAAAATCTCAAGAGCTAATGGAAGGCCATTGGCATATTTTAGAACATTCTTGGATAGTTCGAGATACTCTTCTTTAACCTGGTAATTCTTGAATGCTTTCCAGCTAAAGAGCTTAAGAGCTTCATCATCAGTTAATACCTCAACGTCATGTATTTTGTCCACTCCAAATGTTCTTAGCACATGCTTATCTCGTGATGTTATGATGATTCTACTCCCCAAACCAAACCAACTATGATCACACAATGCTTCCAATTCTTCTAACTGATCCACGTCATCAAGAATGATAAGAACCATTTTAGCACGTAGTCTAAGCCTTATTACGTTTTTTCCCATATCAGTATTCCGTATATTTACATTACTTTGCAGCAAGTCCAAAAGAAGTTTTTCTTGTAAACGAACTAGACCTTGCTTTTCAGTTACCTCTCGAACATTGTTAAGAAAGCTGCAAGCTTCAAACCTATCACGTATAGTATCAAACACCACTTGTGCAAGAGTTGTCTTGCCTATTCCTGCCATCCCCCATATCCCTATGCTACGAACATCTTTACGCAATCCAAAGTCCAAGTATGAAAGCACTTTTTCCAAACGAGAATCCATTCCAACTAAAGCCTTGGATACATTAGTGGTTGTTTGATTAAGTTTGGCAATCCTTTCTACAATATGTTGAATAACTTCAGGTTCACATCTGCAAAGAAAAATAATAAACGATCCTAAAATGGTTGTTTGATTAAGTTTGGCGATCATTTCTACAATATCTTGAATAACTTTGGGTTCATATGCAAAGAAAAATATATAACGATCTTATAAATATGGTCTGCAAGTTAGCTAGAACCATGTGAGAAATCCGTTCTTCTACCCGGTTCTGTTAATGGAGGCTGAGACATTGAATTAGTTGGTTCTTTTTAAGAATCAGGTGATGGCGCTTCACTTTATAAATAATAAAGAAAGAGAAAACAAAGAAGAAATAAGAGATATCGTATACCTATCTGTCATGGACAACAGATCTCCTGAATGCTGGCCTGTGGAAGAGAAAAAATAAAGGAAGCTGCTCAAGACACAACTTTGCCATGTTTGGGAGGGGATCGGATTTCTTAATGGTACTCCTTGCTAACGGAGAATGTTAGGTGTAGGGTTTTTGTGAGTTTTGGTATGAGTTTGTGTGGTCTTCAAAGTTTGGATATCAATTTGAAACGACCCCTAAAGTTCAGGGGTTTTATGTAGTTGATTTTTTTTTTTCCTGATCAACCAGAGACGGGTTACGGATATCAAACTTAGAGCCCCTACGAACATTTTCAATTTTTCTTTTCATAAAAATAAGAAGAAAAAAGAGAAGAAAAAGAAGAAGAGAATGACTTGTATGACATATTTTAGATAATAAAGGAATTCATTAGCTACTTCAATTTTAAAAAAACAAATAAATAATGAAAACAAAGCAAAAGAGGGAGAAAAACAGATCCAGAAGAGTATAGTTTACCCATCTCGCAAATTCCATCCGGAGAGATTAGCTACTTCTGTAAGTGCAGCTCTCCACCTTTGCACCCTCTCTGGGTCTCCAAAGCGATCTTCGTGCCTATCGAAAGCCCGCTTGAAACTCCCTTGTTGTCTGCGTACGTCCGATGGATCCACATCATAAAAGACTGGGAGTACCATAAGTCCACTCCTCCCTTTCTTACATTCTACAATCTTGCTAAGCTCGTCTAAGCACCATGTCGAATCGGCGTAATTTCTTGAAAAAATGACAACTGCACATCTTGATTCTTCAATTGCTTCCAAGATTTTTATCGGGATGCTTTGTCCCCAGTTAGATTCTACATCCCTAAATGCGAAAATACCTTTCTGATCCAAAGCAGTATGTAAATGGTCTACAAAATTCTTGCGAGTGTCCTGACCTCTGAAATTGAGGAAGACATCGTATGTCCATATAGGGTTCCGAGAAGGAGAATACAAAGAAGAAGAAGAACTATATGAGGCCAATAGAGTGGCCATTGAAGAAGGAGTGGAAGATGATCGGTTGATGGCGAGATAACCAAAAAGGTGTGCAAGCAACAGATCTGAGAATGGCAATTAAACTGGCATTTGTTCAATTATTTTTAGCTGTTGTGTGAACTGAAAAGTTGACAAACACCACCGAAAATGGACAACTCATCAGCAAATTGTTTTTTTTTTCTTTTTCTGCTTTTTTTTTTTTTTTTTTTGGTAATAGTCAATAAATTGTTTTAGGCAGGAATCATGGTATGTATATCAAAAGCGATGTCTAAAATATTGATGGTTTCGGAAATATCGATGATCCAAAAATATAAGAACTTTAGGAAATTATCGATATTGAAAAAAATTGAATAAAATCCACTGAAATTGTAAGAAAAACTTGGAAATTTTTCTTGAAACTTTGGATGATGTTTATTTAGTCAATTATCTAGTACTTTATCACCAAAAAAAAAAAAAATAAGGAAATGCATTGCATGATAGATTTAATTGATTTAAATTGATTATATAACGACCTGACAAAGACTGCGAGTGTAGAAAATATAGTAATTAATGAAAGAAGATTAAATACACCATAATCATTTATTTATAATGATTTACTACAATATTGTCCACTTTATATATTGCATGGTAAGATATATGAGTGACTTAGTACCACATAAAGTTCATATAGGCCTTGTTTGGTACACCTCCCATGCCTGGATTGTATTAAAATTAGGCCCATGTTTGGTTCACCTAATTCTAGTTCTAAACAGGGATTACTAATGCGGGTCCCACTGATATATTCTATATTTGATTGTCGAATTTGATGTTCTTATAAATGTTTGGCATTATATTTTGGGTTTTGACATATTTGAGTATCTTGAGTATGTATGTATGGAATTTGAGAATTTCTACCTATATTGTCTATGCGTGGGGAACTTGGGTTGTTGAGTTGAGATTGTGGAAAGGTTTGAGTATAGAATGTCAGTTTGGAGTCCTATAAGCACTGCTCTATGTACTTCCCCAGATTTGGAACTTGGATACGGAAACTTGAGATACTTGGAATTGTCGGAACCCAGGGCATCCTTGAAGGGATGTTGCTGTAGACCCTTGATTGGGTAGTCTACGCGCGTAGGACTGGTTTTCAGGTGTACAAGCTTTGAGAGTCTCGGCTGTACGTGCTGGCTGAGAGTTAGTCCCCCAATTGGATGACTCGTTCCCTCGCCACATGATGAATTGAGGAATTTGCTCTGCCATGTGGACTAGTCAAACAATCCCCCGGTTGGATTGTTTCCCCGGTACAACTAGGTGTTGGTTATATTATATTATATATATCTTAGTATGTATTATATTATTATGTGTATATATATATAACTATTCATTCGTTCTTGTTTCTCAGTGAGGATACTTCCTCGCCGGTTGTGCCAATGGGTACGCTTTTGAGAGTTTAGTTGTGGGATTTATAAGATTTGGATGGTGGGTTTGTAAAGTATTCTTTATGGATTTCGGACTTGGCATCCGGTATTGATTTGATTTGATATTTATATACTTGATTTTGATGGTTTTGGGATGCATTTGGTTTTCTTGCATGGTTTTCTAAACGGTGGGCTTATATTATGTTGGTTTACACTGAGCTGAACTTTACTTTTGTCCACTCACAATTTTCTGTTTTGCGCTCCCCAGTCAGTAGCTGACTGAGCTCCGCAGCTAAGCTGGATAGTGCGCTTCCAAATCTTGAGCCTTTGTAGGAACTCCTTCATCATTTTATTCTTGTTGAACTTTGGTTTTGTTGTATTTGAAATTCTTAGACATGCTCTGTTATCGCCCGTGTAGGGTTTGATTTGTGAGGCCGGAGGCCTTTGTTGTAAACTATTTATTTGATTTCAATCATGCTGCTGGTTGGGAGTGTTAAACTGTGAATTTTGAGCAGGTTGAATTTTGGGAAATGTTCAATTTACAAGGGAGACTGCCAAAATTTTGGTAGAAAGTTTCGTTTCTTAGTAAGTGAGTCCGGCATCGGGGTGATGTCGGTAATAAGATGGGATCCGTCCCGATTTCCGAGGAAATTCGGGGCAGGTCCTGTCACAAGAACATGTTTTGGGTGGGAGTAGTTTGGGGGAAAAGGGAATGGTTTTGAGTGGGTTAGGTATTAGTATACCATTACGAGATATGGATTTCACCTTGATTTTGACTTAGCTATATACATTTATATCGATTTTGAATGCATATTTTTAGCATCGTTTTCCAAACGGTGGGGTTAGTATGTTGTTTTTAACTATGTGAAAACTTTGTTTTTATTCACTCACATGTTTTTTGTTTTGCACCTCCCAGGCAGTAGTTTGAGCTGAGTCAAGCGGCTGAGTTGAGACCCGAATTTCCAAGCCCTGAATTTCTGTAGGACTGTTTTTATTTCTGTTGAACTTTGTTTCGTTTGTAAACTGGATTCCTTTAGAATTGCTCTGTTATCACCCATGTTAGGGTTGAATGTAAGGCTAGAGGTCTATTATATAAATTGCATGTTTTTATACTGTGCTTGTTGTTGTTGGGATTATTTTAATGTGTTTGATAGGTTAATTTTTTTTGGGAAAGTTCGTTTTTCAACGGAAACTCTGCCGAAATTCCGACAGAAAGTCTCGATCATATTTCCCTTGATTTGGAGAAGAAGTTATTGTTAGTAAGTGGGCCCGACATTGGGTGGATATCGGAAATATTACAGGACCCGTCACGGGTTCCAAGGAATTCAGGGTGGGTCCTATCATAATATCTCCCAATTTTGGCCTAGATAATCCCCCAAATAAATGGTGCCGATTATTGACCTAGGAGATATTCCTCTATCCACGTGTCGCCTTGTGATTGGAAGCTTGAATATTTACTCCCACACCTAAGTCAATAAAATGGTCTTAATTAGATGTAGATTTAATAGAAAGGATTGAGCTTTCCTCTATCTGAGAGGAGGAGGTGCAGCGCTGGGAAGGGGGGTGACGACACGAAGTCATGAGAGAGTTTTGCTAGGGTTTCAAAATTACCTCACGTTTGGTGAGATGTCATCTTTATATAGAGTCTTCATCTTTGGTATGGTTTTTGGAGAATAATTCCCTATTGATTGAAATTATTCTTTTCCTTAAATGAGATGACAAGATAATATCAAGGAGATTTGGTTAAAATCAAATTCTTGATTTAGGGAGATATATTCCAATCTTAAATCACGATAATTTGTTAATTAAATAGGATGTAATTAGCACAATTATTTGACCTAAAGAATATTTCTTTTTTCACATGTTACCTTCTGATTGGTTGCCAAAATTCATGTTCCCACAACTCGTGTGGTCCTTCTGTTCACCCGTTTTGTGATTACTCCTGAGATGGAAGGGCAAAGTTCCCCACTGCCTTGGATACCATTGACTGGTCCACAAGTCAGCTTTCTTTGGTGTATGAGCGTGCCACTGCTAGCAATGAAGATTCTAGCAGATTTCTTCTAGAATAGATAACTTACGCCCTAAGTTACTGATTTCTAAAACAAACGATTATGAATTTGGGTGAGGAATATCTTCCAAGTAAGTTCTTTTCATGCCTCAAACTGGTGAGGACTTTCATAATTTATCTCAGTATAAAAACAGTTGTTCTGACCAGAATAGTTGATAGAAATCGGACTGTTTTAGGCAGAACTGCCCTTTACACAACTATGAACATATATATCAACGCTAAAAAGATTAAAAGAAGATTGGAACTCCATTTCTATCTGGATAGAAGGCTATGATCCGGGCTAGACTGGATGTGCCTGGGTTGGACTGGACTGCCAACAACTTCAACTGCTAAGCTTCAGCTGTAAATCGATACCAAAGTTCAATTCTGGCAAAGCTTTAATCTACTTCAAGCTTTTGTGAGGCTTTTGAGTGGGCAAAACTGCGGTTTCTTCAATCTGAAAGGGCAGAAGTGGCTGTTCTTGAGGACTTCAGTGGGCTAAAGGCTGCACTATGAAATTTGTTGAGGTTTTCATGTTTGGGAAAAGCTCAAACTCTACCTGTCTTGACTTTTTGCTAAACCAAATTTGTAACGAGAGAAATCTCGTTTTAAATGACTTATTTTCTAAGTCTGAACCTTGGGAATTCTGATCTAAAGCTGGTTTCTCTTGGAGTTTGAGTGAGCTTTTAGTTAATTTCTTGCTGTTTGTTTGATTGATGAATTGAGTGTGTGATTGATTCTGTTTTGCCCTATTCACTCCCTCTTATAATTATAAGAGATGCTTTTGGAGTAGGGTTTCTTTCTTAAAATAATGGGCGGCAATTTCTCAAAAAAGATTATCAATTCTGGCAAATGGGCTCTCAGTAGTCAGTTCAAGAGCAATCACTTCCCTGTTTTTCTTGAAAGAGAACCCAATCTTCTTTTTTGATTCTAACTGCCCCTTTGTGAGAATTAAAGAACCATGATGGTTAGTTTGATTTCTTTTGGATAGTTCCTTGTTTCCTGCTTATCTTTTTTCTGAAAACATAGCCTGCGTATCCCTTGAAAAGATGGTGCCTCTTTGGAGTGAAAGCAATAATTTTGAATATATAAGAGGGATTTTGATCTAAAGTTGGTAGAGTTTCAGAGAAGAAATTTTGCTTAATGGCATGCATTCTTTAATTTCCCAATCACTTCTCCTATGACAGTTGCCATTGTTGACTTTTCCTGACTCAGAGATGTCACATGAGTTTGTTTCCTTCTTCTGAGCTCCCCTTTTTGATCACACCGGGCCTGTTTTTTGGAGTCCTAGGGCTGTTTGCATTTTTTGAGGCCCAAGTGTGTTTGTTTATATTTTGATAAATCTTGGGCTGGTCATTTTTGGATTTTGGGCCTTTGGTTCCTATTTCGCATAGCCCATATTCTGGGTTTTGTGGCTTTTCTTTATTTTTGGGCTAGGTGCGCTAGATTTTGGCCCGAACAATGCCCCCTAAGTCTGAATCGTTTTTGGAATGGTTTCAGACTTAAATGGATTGGCCATTAAATTGGCCCGTGCCAATTTCTTCCGTTATCCCACGTCTGCCACGTCTTCTCACTGAGCTAGTGTTCGTGGGAAACTTGTTTAGTTACTAGCTCTTTACTTGC